TAGAAAGTAAATTTTAAGGAAGAGTCCACTTCCTACTTACCGTATGAGAGAGCAGCAGACTTTACCTAGAAAGCGTTCACTCGCATTTACACGTTTAAGTGAAAATCAAGATCTTGGACAGCTCTTTATACCCAAATGGGAAAACCATTCAAATAAACACAGCTCTTACAGCCAGGTATTCATTTTCAATCAACAGTGTACAATTTGGGGCTTTTGAGAGGGGCACCTTTGGCTGAAACAAAAAGAAATGGGAGATTTTCAAGTGAAGAGGGTTGTTCATGTGGATTATTCAGGTTTAGTGTCAAAGAACTGTAAAATCAGTCCTTGAACAGCATCGAAACATGTATATTATCTAGGGTGAAACAGATCACCAGCCCAGGCTGGATGCATGAGACAAGTGCTCGAGCCTGGTGCACTGGGAAGACCCAGAGGGAGTGGGTAGAGAGGGAGGTGGGAGGGGGGATCAGGATGGGGAATATATGTAACTCCATGGCTGATTCATGTCAATGTATGACAAAACCCACTACAATATTGTAGAGTGATTGGCTTCCAGCTAATAAGAATAAATGAAAAAAATAAATAAATAAAAAATAAAATAAAATAAAATAGGATGGAAACAGCAGAGGTCTCTTCCTTCTTTGGAAAGTACTATAAGGCATAAGAATTCCCTTACTATGTCAAATAAGGGTACATTTCTCAATTTGTTTACTACCTCCATTGAAAGGGCTGGATGTAAATTGTATCCAGTTAAGGTCTGTGCCTACAAGTACATTCCTGTAGAGTAGATATTATTTGGAAATTCTCTGTGCAACACCTATTCAGGATTTATCTAAGCATATTGTTAATATTTAAGTTTTCTAGACTCAGTCCTATGAAATAACATTGCTATCATTGCATGTTTACCCACCTCCAGGAAAAATAAAAATAAAAAGATGAACAGACGCATAAAAATGTTTCACTAGTAGATGGCCTACAAGTTGTTAATGAAACCACATAACTGCATTTTTAGGCCACCTAGGAGGTGAAGCCCGACCCTCTGGGCACTTCAGTCTCCAGTTTGAGGTGTGCAGCCTGAAGCGGGGCCCAGGGCTCGTTTGAGGTGCCGAGCAACTGGGCCCAGGCGCTTGTCACAATCTGGATACAAATGGAGCCGCGTGAGACCTTTATTAGACCAACAGATATTGTGTGTACACAGACATTAGCTAATCTATTGGACTTAGCCAGGCATTCTAAGAAACTGATTTACTGGGCAAATACAAAAATCATCCACATTTAACCTTTAAGCCCACAGAACCTGGGCGTCTTATCTGTTTGTGGCTTGCTTTCTTTCTCCTTTAATTCTTCCCCACCCCCTCTCTTTTTTTAAATGAAGAGAAGATGGAGACTGTGAATGATGTGTAAGGAGAAATGATCTGAATTGTCTATCTATTAATCACACAGCTTGCCAGGCAAGCCATCGGTGATGTCACTGACAACAGACGTCACATGGTGTCTCAGGATGAACATTGAGTGACGAAGATGCGTTCACTGGTTCGCAGCTGTTAATAAAAATTATGAAATGACGTGAGGAGGCTGATGACATGGGAAGGGAATAGGTTCCCCAAAGAAGGCCAGCCTCACTCCCTGGCTGTGTCCCTGGCTTCTACTGCGCACCATGATGAATTTTGTCACCACCCGCTCCCAGCATCTCTGAAGGGCAGATGACCCAAACGAATGCAAATCGAATTAGGTTTCCTCTCAGAAACTTTAATACCATAAATGAGAAAGAGCATTCATCACAAATAACTAGGGATTGTATACCAAAGTGCTGGAAGAAAATCAATATACTTTCAGCTGCTCTCGGCCTATAAATGTAAATGAGAACAGATATAAAGCTGATATGCACTAAAGAAAGGTTATTGAGGGAGCGACACAGAACACGAAGAAATCAATTGAATAAACTTGAAAAATGATTCAGATAGAGTAGATATGAACATAGAAAATCAATCATATAATTTAAAGAATAAACAGCTTGAACCTCACAAATCTCCCGTATGGTTTTCGAGTGTAGGATTTTTAATTTAGCATTGATATAATGCCAGGCTATGAGAATCTGCAGATGGTCCAGGCTGGGGGGAAAATCAATTCATTCTTGTTCTACGGTCTTAAGGGGTATTTGATATTTACAGCAGGGCAGCATGAATCCTTGTATAAATTTACATTTTAAGAGATAAAGGGCCTCTGTATTTTGTCTTGTTATTGTTAATAGAAACTGTCTACTTTTATTCTGTCCACTTTCTAGGGAAGCGGAGCTGTCTTTGTGTTGGTGTGTGTCACAGGTAATTCTCCAGGCTTTATTTTCTTGATACACAAAGTTTTGCCTTGTGCTTTTTTTTTTTTCTTCTCCCTGCAAGGCAATCGAGGTGGCATAATTGCATCAGTGCCACAGAAATATAGGCTGCAATTTGGGGGGAAAAAACAATTCCAGACAAGTTCATTTATACATTGCACAGAGGTTTCGAGGTTAAGAAAATGTGACAGGATACAAGTAAATGTCTATGTAAATCCGAGAGACCTTCATTGCTCTTATAATCAGTGATTTGCCTTTCTGCTTCCAACTCAGGGATTCGTCATTAGGAAAAGCTGAAAAATCAAATCCACCCTCAAGACTGCAGACAGCGAGCTGGAGGTCTGCTCCCCAAACTTAGGACGCTCATAACTCTGACATGGGTGGACAAACGTCTTTGAGCATCTGCATCATCAGGGTGATTTGCAGCTTTTATCTGCCTAATGGAAATGGATATCACAGCATTAGTGGTGTCTCTCTTTCCCTGTCGGCTCCTCCTCATCAGTCACCATGTTCCAGGGAAGAGAACCAGAGAGCTGGCCCTCTTTGCTCCACTGGCACCGTGGAAAACCACAGGGGGCTGCGACCATTTCTCTAGTTTCCAGAGAATCCCAGCTAGTGAAAACACTCCATTTGACTTCTTTGCTGTATGAAAGTAGACACATTGCAAGTTTTCTTTTCATGAATCGAGCAGCCTAGTTGCTATTACCGTTTGTGGTTTATTCGCCCCAGTGGGAGCAGTTGGTCAGAGATGTGGGGAGGAACATAAACCCTTTCTGGACAAGTTCTGTTTCTGATGCCTTTTCACCCTACTCCTGGAGTTCTTAGTTCACAAGAGGTCCTGAGACAGACAAGGGACAAATGTCATGAAAGAAAAGAGAAAAGTGATGAATGTATAAATGAAGTGAAGGGAAAGTCGCTCAGTGGTGTCTGACTCTTTGTGACCCCAAGGACTATGCAGTCCATTGAATTCTCCAGGCCAGAATACTGGTGTGGGTAGCCTTTCCCTTCTCCAGGGGATCTTCCCAACCCAGGGATCGAACCCAGTGTTCCCACATTGCAGGAAGATGCTTTACCAGCTGAGCCACCAGGGAAGCCTGAATGTAAAAGGAATGTATGCAATCTTCAGTAATGAGACAGCCGCAAATGCTTCAAATGTACTGTATGCATGCACTGTATACAATGGACAGGGAGGCCAGGCATACTGTAGTCCATAGGGTTGCAAAGAGTCGGACACGAGCCACAGAACAACAACAGCATGCACTGTGTGCATCTCCCGATACACAGTGAACACGACCATGTCACATTGCTAAGAAGTTTGCTTAGAGAGGTGCGTGCTTGCATAGTCGCTCAGTCACATCTGATTCTTTGTGACCCCATAGACTGTAGCATGCCAGGCTCCTCTGTCCATGGAATTCTCAAGGCAAGAATACTGGAGTGGATTGCCATTTCCTTCTCCAGGGGATCTTCCTGAATCAGGGATCGAATGTGCATCTCCTGTGTCTCCTGATTTGGCAGATAGATTCTTTACCTCTGAGCCATGGGGGAAGCCCACTTTAGAGATGAGGATCTTTTTTTTTTTGGAGGAGGGGCATGATTTTTAAAACTATTGTATGCAGATTTCTGATTTCAGAAAGATGGAGCTGGACAGATTTCCCCTTCCTCCCACTGGTGTGGTGGAGGCAGTAAACACATAGAGAAGGTTCTGAGAGTAGACGAAGGAGGCAGGCTGCCTGGTGTTGCGACCAGATTGCTCAGTGGTTAGTCCCCGAGTTCTCTATGCTCAGAGATCCTGGACTCAGAAATAAAGAGAACACAACCTCCAAATGCATCAAGTGACACAGAGGACCAGCTCCAAGAGCAGCCTGTTTCCTGGCCAAATGCCCAGGAAAGGGGGTGTCAGGCAGGATGGATGACCTGCAGACAGTGATCCCCTCCACCAGCCAAGCATTGCAGGAAAATCCTGCACCTTCACTGCCGCCCTCCCTGCAGTGGGCTCCCCTCACCACTGCCCGCCCCGCCCGGCTGGTGTTGGGGGCCCTGGAGAGGGTTAGGCTCTCCGTCTCCCAGCATGACCAGAAGCTAGGGGCAGCAGGAGCTTACACTTGGCCCACCATAATGAGGATCCGGGTGGGAGGAGACTCCCAAATAGAATGCTCAAATAAGACCCAGAACCTTGGAACAAAAGAACCAAAGGAATTTGTCAGCTAAAGACACAATGCTCATTTCAAAAGCTCAGTGGAGCCGCAAGCTCAGAAAAGAGCAGAAGCAATAGAAGAAAGGATGTGTGGACTAAAGACGAGGAAGGGCCTTCAGGGAAGAGAGCAGAGGAAAGCCTCAAGAGAGACTGAGCCAAAGTCCAGGACTGCGGACGAGCAAGCGGCCAGCATCCTCCAGCGCCCCAGAGAGGACAGACAGGGGCTGGCAGGCTCTCCGGGAAATAAAGCCTGGAAACCTCCCAGAGCCACAGACTCAGGAGGATGAGTGACACAAAGCAGGAAGACCCCGAAGGATCTCACGCCGAGACTCACCATAAGCAATCTCGTGGAAATCGGGGACGGAGAGTCCTCCTCCTGGTCCATGAGCCACCACCCGTCACGGCCCAGCCCAGGCCACACAACAGAGAGGCATCCTTGTGGGGGTGAGGACCCCGGAAGATCCAGGAAGTCCAGGAATGCAGGGACCCACCCCAGTGCCGGCCCCCATCAGCGCTGAGGAACGTCCCTTCTTCCCTGAAGCAGGGGCTCTCGTTCGTGAGTCGGCCGTGGGGGCAGGGTTTTCCATGCCACCCCTAAAAGGTGGGGGCAGCTTTGTGCTCAGGCAGCACCAGCTCATCTTCACGCTGAATCCACACTGCGCATCCTTCCCGCAAATGAGTAGAACCTGAATCCCGAGGGGCTCATAATTCCCCAGGGAAGTAAAAAATTTACAAGACTTTTCGGGGATTAGACTATTATGTCAATAAGAAACCTGTGTTCAGAAGAGCAGTTTTCTTGTGTAACCCAGCCCTGTTCACCTGGGGAAGTTGGCAAACCGTCACAGCGCAAGTGAGACCGTGCCTGTGCTGTGGCCTCACTCGTGCCTGTGTGACGCCGGCACTGCGCCCTCACTTCCTCTGCCCCACTGTGTGCTTCAGGACTAGACTCTGCTTTTCAGGAGAAGCGTGTTCTGTCACCAAATCGGTGGTTTACGCACTTGAAAAGTGGGTGAAGCAGCATCACCAGTTTGAAATGAGGAGGGGCTTGCCCTGCAATGCTGGAAGCACGGTTCGGCCCTGGACATTCATGCCTGAACCTGGGACGTCTAGAGGTCAGCGCATCGCCCCTCGTGGTCACGGCCCCTGTAGGCAGATCTGGGGGAGTGTCCACAGGCTTCTCAGAGCAAATACCAGGCACCTGGAGTCCTGCAGTGCCAGTCCCAGCATTTTTCTCTGCCTGGCCGCATCAGCGATGCTGTAACCTTTCCTGCCTCAGTGATGCAATGAGGGAACCTGACGTGAACTGTGCTCCTCATACACGCCAAAGAAGTTTGCAATAAAATACTGAGAGTTAATCTAGATGATAGACAAGGTTTGTGCAGGTGTGGGTTTAAAATGCTTGTTGATATTTGAGGTGGGAGTAAATTAACAAAGTTGTTGTTTTTAATCTTGCCAGCTTTATTTCCTTAAAGAATTTTAGGGTTCTGTATGACACTTCTGAAAAATAAAGCTGCTGGAGGGCAACAACGTGCTGGAAGAGTGGAGGCTGGAGAGAGGAAGGCCAGTGAGACTGTGTGGGAGCCGGGAGCAAGGCAGAAGGAGCCTGGGCTCCCCCATTGAGCGCCTGCCCTGGGATTTGCTGGATGGCATCACTGACCCGATGGGCATGAGTTTGAGTAAACTCCAGGAGTTTGTGATGGACAGGGAGGCCTGGCGTGCTGCGATTCATGGGGTTGCAAAGAGTCAGACATGACTGAGCGACTGAACTGAACTGAACGGATCTGAACCATCCTTGGAAGCCAGCGATGTGCCAGGAAAACGCTTTGAGCTTTGCCTCAAGTGTTCCTGAAGTTTCCCCAAGAATCCTGCCCCAGAAAAACTGGTTTCTACAAGTTGTACCAACTGCAAGTTTCCCATTAAGGGTGATGAGACAGTTTGGAAGTCACTAGCTGACTTTTTTAAAGTCTGAGGAAAACTCTAGCAAAATATTAATACTATAGGCATATTAGAGTGTATCTTTTTGTCTGCATTTATTATGAAAGAGCATAGCCTTTTAAATCAGATTTATTGAGATATCGTTGACTTGTAAAAATTGTACATATTTGAGATGTACAAACTAATGCTTTGATGATGCTTTGTATACAGGATGTGTACATCATAAAATGATCTCTTTCTTCAAGCTAATTAACATATCCGACACCTCACAGGGTGACTTTCTGTGTGTATAGAAGAATATAGACTTCTAGAATATAGAACACGTAGAAGGAAAGCAGGATGAGGGAACCGTGATGTGACCTGTGCTCCCCAAAACATGACAAGGAAGTCTGCAATGAAATATTGAGAGTCAAGTTGGTAGGCTTACTACTCTTATCTAGGTCCTCTTTTTTTTGTTTTAATGTAGTCTGTTCTCTCTCTCTCTCTCTCACACACACACACGCACACACACACACACACCAGAAACAGGAACCGTCTTGGGTGCACCCATTGGGCATATCTTTGCAAACTTAATCCTAACGATACTAATCTAGTTACCTGAGAGCAGGAAAAAGAATAAATGTTACAACAGATTAGAATCTCTCTTCTCTCGATGTGTTGGACTGGGAACCAAATTAGTGAAAATCACTTGGAATAAAATCAGTTTCTCAAAAGGGCTATGCAAGTCTTTGTGAAAAAGTACACCGAGATGTTATCTGGGATAAACCCAAGGTAGGGAACCTTGCAGGGTGTGGAAGAAGATGCATTTATTATAATCTCTTTTAACTAGAAAGACAGAAGGAGGCGAGGCACTTACTGTGTGCCCCCTGAGTCTTAAGTCATTGTACCTTGTGTTCACAGGTGCAATCCTCTATTTTATTTTTCTTTCCATTTATTTTTATTAGTTGGAGGCTAATTACTTTACATCACTGCAGTGGTTTCTGTCATACATTGAAATGAATTAGCCATGGATTTACATGTATTCCCCATCCCGGTCCCACCTCCCACCTCCCTCTCCACCCAATCCCTCTGGGTCTTCCCAGTACACCAGGCCCGAGCACTTGTCTCATGCACCCAACCTGGGCTGGTGATCTGTTTCACCCTAGATAATATACATGTTTCGATGCTGTTCTCTTGAAACATCCCACCCTCGCCTTCTCCCAGAGTCCACAAGTCTGTTCTATACATCTGAGTCTCTTTTTCTGTTTTGCATATAGGGTTATTGTTACCATCTTTCTAAATTCCATATATATGTGTTAGTATACTGTAATAGTCTTTATCTTTCTGGCTTACTTCGCTCTGTATAATGGGCTCCAGTTTCATCCATCTCATTAGAACTGATTCAAATGAATTCTTTTTAATGGCTGAGTAATATTCCATGGTGTATATGTACCACAGCTTCCTCATCCATTCGTCTGCTGATGGGCATCTAGGTTGCTTCCATGTCCTGGCTATTATAAACAGTGCTGCGATGAACATTGGGGTGCACGTGTCTCTTTCAGATCTGGTTTCCTCGGTGTGTATGCCCAGGAGTGGGATTGCTGGGTCGTATGGCAGTTCTATTTCCAGGTTTTTAAGATCTCTCCACACTGTTTTCCATAGTGGCTGTACTAGTTTGCATTCCCACCAACAGTGTAAGAGGGTTCCCTTTTCTCCACACCCTCTCCAGCATTTATTGCTTGTAGACTTTTGGATAGCAGCCATCCTGACTGGCGTATAATGGTACCTCATTGTGGTTTTGATTTGCATTTCTCTGATAATGAGTGATGTTGAGCATCTTTTCATGTGTTTTTGTGCCATCTGTATGTCTTCCTTGGAGAAATGTCTGTTTAGTTCTTTGGCCCATTTTTTGATTGGGTCATTTATTTTCCTGGAGTTGAGCTGGAGGAGTTGCTTGTATATTTTTGAGATTAATCCTTTGTCTGTTGCTTCATTTGCTATTATTTTCTCCCAATCTGAGGGCTGTCTTTTCACCTTGCTTATAGTGCAATCCTCTATTTTAAAACTACCTGTCAACCTTCATGAACCCGATGAGGCAGATGCTATGATCCTTGTTTGAAAGTCAGGAAGAGATTCCCAGAAGAACGAGGACCCATGTGGGCAAAAGCGAGGAGCTGGAATCCCCATAACACATGACTCTAATTCCCGCAGTGAGAAATTCAGACAACAGTGAACATGCATCAAGGGTGAGTACAGATGTTAGTTCAGAGTGGGGACCCTCAGTGCAGACACAACTGGGTTCAGATTCATTTACAAGCTCTAAAACATGGGATATTCACTTACTCTCTCAAATGCTCGTTTTCTTCATGCTCAAAATGGAACTGAGGTTTATGTAAGGATTAGTAAATATGCATGCAGAACAGTGCCTAACAGAGTAAATGCCTTTATTAAGATAAATGTGTGAAGCTTATCATGATTTCACTGTCACCATCATTTTGAGGATTTTTTTCTTCCTGCTATATAAGCTGCATTTTACTGCACTGGCCTCTGAGGTTTCTGATTTAAGTCCTGGTTCCACCAAAATGGTAATAAAGAGGCTTTGCTGGGCCCAAGAATGTCATAAAAAGAAATTGTGTCTGTCCCTTACGATTTTGTGACATGTCTGATAACTCAGACTTCTTTCTATTCAAAGCTATCTGAGTTGAATATTTTCACAGATTTTATTTTAGTGTACCTGCCGGTAACTTCTGGTGCTGTTCTATTTAGTCAAAAAGGCAAAGGAAAAATAAACCAAGGGACAAAACAACAAATATTTATGCCTCCATGGCTAAAAGTTCAATAGAAGTAGCCTAAACAAATAATTTTCTTTTTTTATTGATAAGCCTAAACTTGTATTTTGAATAAGATCACTACAAAGTTATGTTAGTATCTATGTTCAGTTTACCATGCATATTTCATTTCAAAGCAAAAACTAGGTTTTGCCCACACTCTTGTACCCCTTGGTGGTTGAGACAGTAAAGAATTCACCTGCAATGCAGGAAACCTGGGTTCCATTTCTGGGTCAGAAAGAGCCCCTGGAGAAGGACATGGCAGCCCACCCCGGTGTTCGTGCCTGCAGAGTTCCAGGGGCAAGGAGCCTGGGGGGCACAGCCCCTGGGATTGCAGAGCTGAGCACAGCGCCCAGCCACAGCCATGACTTACATCGAATTGAACAGAATGACTCTCGGAAAGCAGTTTGAGATCTCAAGTTCCCCTGTTCCTCCCAGGTTCCTTCATCCTCATCAGTACTCAAGAAGGACAAGAGTGGGGAGACGGGGTGTGGTCCACACAGCGCAGCACAGTTCCCAGCTCCCAGGAGGTCTCAGTGAGTCATCAGAATGAAGGCTGTGCTCTCAGTCAACCTGTCAGACCCGTGTTGTTTCCATCTCATTTTAAAGTTGTGCCTCTGCCTCTGCTGGGTGCCAGGGAGGTGCCCCCTGCTCCCGCCTGCCATGGCATCTCCTCCTTGAACCAGCCCGGTTGTCTCACATTCAGGGTGGACAGACCACCCTTCCTGACGTTCAGTGGCACCTTGACCATAACACAGGCTTCTACGCATGATGCTCGCGTCACTTGACGTCCATTCCCATATGTGTTAGGTGTGCTGACTCCTCCTGTGTGCGGAGGCAGGGCATCTTAGTGGTACTTGCACATCACTGCTGGAGCTCACTTTCAGTCACATCTCGGGGGCTCTGAGGGGTTGGGAGGGCAGAGGGCTGAGGAGCAGGGAGGGCAGCAGAGGAAGGGAGCTGGTGATGGAGCGTCCATGGCCTCGAGGCTGAGCAGGAGCGCAGATGACAGCTGTCGGGGGCGAGGGTCCCCTGGGACCCATCCGACCCTGTCTCAGGCAGAGCTGGCCACATGTGCCCCGCCGGGGGTCCGGTCACAGCACATGCAACAGGGGAGGCTGCTCCTGGGGACTCTGCCAGCAGCTGCAAGGCTGAACCCAAAAGGAAGGAATAAACATTTGTGTCTCTCAATAAAGTGAAAGTGAAAATCACTCAGTCGTGTCTGACTGTTTGCGACCCCATGGACTATGCAGTCCATTGAATTCTCCAGGCCAAATACTGGAGTGGGTAGCCTTTCCTTGCTCCATGGGATCTTCCTAACCCAGGGATCGAACCCAGGTCACCCACGTTGCAGGCAGATTCTTTATCAGCTGAGCCACACGGGGAAGCCCAAGAATATTGGAGTGCATAGCCTATCCCTTCTCCAGGGGATCTTCTTGACTTGGGAATCAAACTGGGGTCTCCTGCATTGCAGGCTGATTCTTTACCAACTGAGCTATCAGGGAAGCCCGTGTCTCTCAATAAGGAGAGAGTTGAAACTCGTGGGTAAGGGTCTTGCAAAATGTGACTTCTTTGCACAATGTATGTTTGCACCTGTGCTTGTGTTGGCAGGTGTTGCTGTCTTAAAGCCCTCTAAGCTCCACCACCCAGCACGGTGAGGCTGTGCACGCAGGGTAGGTTCTCTGCAGCAGCACCAGCAGCGTCTCATTTCCACCCTCAGTGCTTCCACCCATGGGCTTATCTCCTTACCTATAAGCCATGCCCCCATCACAGCGATCAGAAATAAATGTGAGCAGTTTCAGATTCTGGTTGAAGTGGAGGCATTGCCTGCCTCAAGCACTCACTTTTTAAAAAGTTAATTAATTAATTAATTTATTTTGGAGGCTGATTACTTTGCAGTATTGCAGTGGTTTTGCCATACACTGACATGAATCAGCCACGGGTGTACATGTGTCCCTCATCCCGAAACCCCCTCCCACCTCCCTCCCCACCCCATCCCTCAGGGTCGTCCCAGTGCACAGGCCCTGAGCGCCCCGTCTCATGCATCGAACCTGGACTGGCGATCTGTTTCACATGTGGTAATATACATGTTTCCGTGCTGCTCTCTCGCTTTTGACAGGCTTTCTGGGGCCCCCGGGCCGTGCGCTGGGTCCGGCTGTGGGTGCAGCAGGTCTGTGGACAGTATCCCACAGGTGCAGCCACGAGGTGGGCAAGGTGCTGGTGGCAGAGGCCATGGGAGGGTCAGAAAGGCCTCCTGGAGAGACGCGCGAGGCTGAGGCCCAGATCTCAGGAGAGTCAGGACAGAGGCCACAGGAGGTGATGGAAACACTGGTCCCTGTGCGGGTGGGGAGAGCGGCAAGGAGACCGCGTGGCTGGTGCGTTTAGGGAGAGGCGGAGTGACCCTCGGTCAGAAATGGGGAGGCAGGCGGGGCCCACAGGGGGCAGGGTGTGTGAGCTGAGGAAGGTCGGGGTTCTCCATCCTGTTTCAGTGGGGCCTGAATTACCTCCTCTCTTTAGAAAGCCCGCAAGAACCTGGGAGCCTCACCCTTTCCACTCTATGCCATCTTCCATCTTCTAATAAACACCGCTTTCTGGTGAGTCTAACCTCCTGTAGAATATAGACTATATGTTACTAGGTGCCTAGGTATTTGTGAAGGTTTCGTGAGTAGTTTCTGTGTCATGAAACTCATCAGCTATTCTTTAATTTATGTCAACCTTTGAAGAATTAACCAATAAAGTGGTTTAAGACCTTTGAGGGGAAATATTAATATAATGCCATCTGATGGATTCAGCAGAGATGGTACATCTCAGAATAGTACACTTTCTGTCTACTTGCTCTAGCAAGCAGCATTTAAAGTTGAGCGTTAATTGTTTGGCTTAAAAGTGTAATTTATTTTTCACTGCTGAATTAGCAATACTTAGGCATATTATGCATGCTTTAGTAAAGAGAGCAGATTAGCTAAGCTTTAGCACATGAGTCTGAGAGATTTGTGTTTGAAATTGCATGTGAACACAGAAGTGAGCCAACCTGTAACAAAGATGGGGCTTGTCATTACATAAATTAAGCATCTGTTTTGTGCTTTGCTGAAATTATTGAGTTTTATTCATAAAATATTTACACTCTGTATTTAATAGCTGTTATTGCTCGGTGCCAACAGAATGAATTTTCTATCTCAGGAAGCAAATGTGTCCCCAACTTGCTCAATGTAACCCTCGATGTCCATATGTTCAATTTATTTTTGAGTGGTTCATGAACATGGGGATATTCTCTCTCTCTCTTTTTTTTTTTTTATGGTGGTGGTTTAGGGATCAGTATAGCTGTAAATGGAAAGTTAAGAGCATTTTTAAATATATTTATTAATTTTTAGTAGAAGAGTTAGAGGAAAACTTACTTGTGAAATCTGCAGCGTCTTTTCACAACTTTCAGGGACTCCGTGAACCTCCAGGAATTATATACTCTGTTGTACATTAAAAATGCTTAAGCACATTTGAAAAACTTTAGAAGGCTAAGTACTTAAGAATTTCTTCAAATTATTTGTTGTTTTATTAGCTTAGGTTTCCACATAGGGAGAACAATACAGTAATGAACACTGACCATAATGAGTAGGTCACATTGGCCTCCACTGGGTGAACCTCACCTTCATTTCCATGTGTGACTTCTCAAGGGAGGGGAGAAGGGGCTGCCTCAACTCCTCAGGAACCATAGCAAATCCTCACTGTAGAATATCCTATGATTTTATTTACAGCTTTATTTGACTCTAGGAATGTCTATGTCAAAAAATATATAAACTTTAATAACACAACTTATATTACATGTAAAAACGACTATAAATTCAGAAGGCGGAACATACTCCTGGCTGAGTGATTACTAAAGGAGATGAAATGGCATTTGAATTGTTTTCTTTTTTTAGGGGCTGTCAAACTTTGAACACCTAGGATATTTTAAGCAGAAAGGCTGAAAATATTGCCAAATGATTCTGGAATCGGGCTCTGGAAGGCAAACATTTTAGTTCTGATTCATACACAGATTGTGCAAACTTGGTAAGTTACACAAACTTTGTAAACCTTGCTTTACTAGCCTATACGATGGGAATCTTTATAACGATCTTAGACAGCTGCTGTGGATAAAGGATAACTTGGACTTCAGTGTCTAATAAGAAGTCTCAGGAATATTTGTAATTTGGAATAAATGATCCAGCAATGGCAAACTTGATAAAATTCCCACATACAAACACACTCATGGGCTTCCCCGGTGGCTCAGTGGTAAAGAATACACCCGCCAATGCAGGAGATGCAGGAGACACGGGTTTGATCTATGGGTTGGGAAGATCCCTTTGAGAAGGAAATGGCAACCTACTCCAGTACTGCTGCCTGAGAAATCCCATGGAAGGAGGGGCCTGGTGGGTCCTTGGGGTCACAAAGAGTCAGACATGACTTAGCAACTAAAAAACAACAAACACTCACACACATAAACCCCAAAGTATGTCTAACCCCAAATTTTGTAGAAAGTATCTTCTGAAAAATATATAAAATCAATACCAAACCACTCATGCCCTAAACACAACTTCTGTCACCTTCCTGCCCATCTAGTCATCTCCACATCAATGCAAACTTGGGCAAGAGATGGAGACTAAACACAAGGGCTCAGTGTGGTCAAGGGGTCTTAGATCAAGGGAAGCATCAAAGGCTTGGGGGTGGGATGTGGACCAGCTTTAAGGGAATAGACACTCATTTCTTCTTTGTAAAATAAATGGTAAACTGCTCATAATTCTCCAAATTCTGAAGATCATTCTGAAGATAAGTGGGTTTTATCAGATTAACTCCTTTGCCAGCCTCAATTATAAACTCTGGACAAATTATGCACAAAATCAACTATTTAAAGGCACTTAAATGTTACCCAAAACAGCAGAAACTGAAGAGAACCATAGCATTGAAAGAAGAGAACCATAGAAAGGAGATCCATATTTTCCCGTCTTCCCTATAGGACACACACCAGGTTTTCTAGTTCCTGGAAGATAGAGTCCAAGCTGGAGACATCTGTACTTTAGAGCTAGGAGTTGGAAGTTACATTTGAGGGAATCCAGAACTGCTGATCTCAAGAGGAGGAACCCCAGGAAGGAGGAGGAATAAGCCAGCCCCTAACTCTGGGTGCAGACTTCCCTCAAGTCCCTGCCAACTCCTGAACCACATGGGCAAGGGATAAGATCTTCATGGTTTTGTGTTAAAGTATCCTCCAGGAGGCTCAAAAGTCAGGGGAAATCTTTAGGAGCTGATTGTCAGGGGGAGCCAGAGCTTCAGCCCTGGCCAAATTTTAGGGATCTGCTAAATATTTCAGATTTTCCATTAGGTTCCAAAGAGAGTTAAAGACCTATGAGTAAGATCATGCTCTGGGACTGAGATGCTAAGATATTAAGACGAAGAGGTAAATCAAAATAGACCTACTGGAATAAACTGCAAAAACAACCCACTTGCAAGTGATAAGAGATCCACTGATAATTTAACTGCTTGTTAGAAAAATAACAATTTTTAGAGAGAATAGAGAATCTAGAGTACTTACAAAGTATCATTTGCAATAACTAGTACACAATGAAAACAAATTAATTAACTAAACTAAATAAATAAATCGAAACATGAAATTCATAGTGAAGGGAAAAGGCAGTCAATATTTACAGACCTATAAATCGCCCAGATTTTGGAATTGATGAATAACAACCCTAAAATACCTATGCTAGATTTATTAAGGAGACTACATAAAAAGTGAGTAAAAAGATAAAATAGGAGTAATAATGGAGAATTTAAGAAGAGATATGAGAGCTATAAAAATTATAAATTGGAAAACAGGAGATGATATAACTGAAAAATATAATACCTGAAATACAAAATTATTTAGATGGATCAACAGAAGGTGAAACACAACTGAAGGATGAATCAGTGAACTTGAAGACAGATGAGTGGAAAGTATCCAACCCAATCACAGGGAGAACAAAGACTAAAATAGAACAAACAATGACAACAATGACAAAACCCTAGAGCTTATTGACCTTGGGGGCAGCCAGAATGGAGGAAACTTTCAAATGCTGAAAAAACACTGTCAGCTTAGAATCTAACGTCTACCAAACACCTACTTCAAATATTCAGCAAAATTGAGACATTTTCATATATACAAACTTAAAGAATTTGTTGCCAGCAGCCCTGAAATGTAAGAAATACCTCAGAAAATTCTTCTGTCAGAAGCAAAACAACGTCATGTTAAAATAAGAGGCTACAGGAATGATTGTATATTACAAACTGGATATTATAAACATATGTGTAAATATAAAGAAATAGTTTCTTAAGTCTTTCTTTCCTTTTAAATGTCATCTAAAAATAAAGTGATTCCTTAAAGCAAATATTGGCAACCCACTCTGGTTTTCTTACCTGGAGAACCCCAAGGACAGAGGAGCCTGGCGAGCTACAGTCCATAGGGTTGCAGAGAGTCAGAAACGACTGAGCAACTAACACATAAAGCAAATAATAAAAGCTAAAACAATACAGTTTGAAGCCTGTAACAAACGTAAAGTTGCGATGTATCACAGTGCTAGGTGTATCACAAAAGGTGGCCATGCTGTAAGATTCTTACATTAAATGTATGCTGGTTCATTTGGCAATGGCTGTGACAAGTAAGCTCCATCCCCAAAGTGGCCACTTAAAAAAAGGACAAAAAGAGCTAAAACAAAACTCAGTAATAAAAATTACTTGATTATCTGAAAAGAAGGCAGAAAAGGGACAAAGAATCAGGGAGCAAAAGAAAACAAACACGAAGTTGGTAATCAAGTATCACACTAAATGTGAACAAACTGAATACTAGAGTTAAAGGAAGTGATTGTCAGAATAGGTAAGAAAGCAAGACCAAACTATGTGTTATTTGTAGGAGGCACACTTTAAGATGCAGAAATGCCAAGAGTGAAAATATGGAGAATTTTACTCTGTAAATACTTAGTATAATGAAACTGGGATAGCTATACTAATATCCAGGTAAAAAGGGTGTCAAGCAAATATATTTATTTTTAAAGATAAAATCTGACTACACCAAGAAGATATAATAAGATAACATCAGTGCTTCAAACATATGAAGCAAAATAGAATTAAATGCAGAAGTAGACAAATCCTCAATTACAGTTGAAGATTTTAATACCTCTCTCTTCACAATTAAAACAAGTAAACAAACAAAATCATTAAGGATATAGATGAATCACTGTGAACAAACTTGACCTAATTGATGTAAATAGACTTCCACACAGCAATGGCAAGTACATAACATTTTCAAGTGAATAGAACATTCACTGATATTGACTCTATATGAT